GTCACCCACCAGATTTTTTTTACATGGTCTTGAGGCACAAAGCATTTTGATTGGTCTATCTCCGTCCGAGACGTCTCCGGATAGACACTGCGCAGAACTACAACGTTTTATCTGCTCACTACGATAGTTTTTTAAAAGAAATTGGACGTAAAAAATTTTGAGTTTCACATTATCATTTCAAACTTTTTCGAATGCAATTCTTTGAGCAGATGTTTGATAGGGGGAAAAAGAACAAACCACACCAGAGCACCCTCCAGCCACCCGCGTAATAATATTATATTCTGCTACCTGATCAGAACTACAAAAGTTCTATCTGCTCACTACGATGGTTTTGTTGGGTGTTTTTTTGTTGTTGTTTTTTGTTGAGAATTTTGACGTACAAAATTTTTGTTCCACACCATGTCAAGCTTTTTAAGCTTTTTAAAATGCAATTCTTTGAATAGATGTTTGATAACAAAAAAAAAAGAAAAAGAACCCACACCAGAGCACCCCCCAGCCACCCACGTAATAATATTATATTCCGCTACCCTAGAATCTAAACGTTGTATCTGCTCAGTATGGTAGTTTGGAGAAATTTGATGTAAAAAATTTCGAGTTTCACATCATCATCATGTCAAACTTTTTCGAATGCAATTCTTTGAGCAGATGTTTGATAGGGAAAAAAAAGAAAAAACCCACACCAGAGCACCCTCCAGCCACCCATGGTAATAATATTATATTCCGCTACCTGATCAGAACTACAAAAGTTCTATCTTTCTATCTGCTCAGTACGATAGTTTTGTTGGGGGTGTTGTTGTTTTTTTTGTTGAAAAATTTGACGTAAAAAAATTTAGTTCCACACCATGTCAAGCTTTTTCGAATGCATTTCTTTGAATAGATGTTTGATAGAAGAAAAAAAGAAAAAAAACCCACACCAGAACACCCTCCAGCCACCCACGTAATATTATATTCCGCTACCCTAGAATCTAAACGTCCTATCTGCTCAGTATGGTAGTTTGGAGAAATTTGACGTCAAAGATTTCGAGTTTCACATCATCATCATGTCAAGATTTTTCGAATGCAATTCTTTGAGCAGATGTTTGATAGGGAAAAAAGAGAAAAAACCCACACCAGAGCACCCTCCAGCCACCCACGTAATAATAATATATTCCGTTACCATAGAATCTAAACGTTGTTTCTACTCAGTACGATAGTTTTGAGAAATTTGACATCAAAGATTTCAAGTTTCACATCATGTCAAGCCTTTTCGAAAGCAATTTTTTTTTAAGTTTTCGTAAGCGTTTTACGGCACTTGCAACACAATAAGATCATATAAGTGCCCAAGATTAGAGGTGTTACAAGGGAGCAACAAACACAAAAAAGAAGGAGAGATAAGAACGATAGATGTTTGATTGGAAGAAGGAGCAAACCAAACTAAACCACCTGCCAACCACTCACTTGAGAAATTTGACGTCAAAGACTTTGAGTTTCCCATCATGTCAAGCCTTTTTGAAAGCAATTCTTTGAATCTCTTTATTATAACGACTCTGAATATTCTTACAATTTTGATAGAAAAGATAGAACAAAAAATTAATTGGTTTCTGACGTCATGGTCTTATTAACTCAAAACGGCC